CTAGCTTTTCGTCTGCCGACAAGGTGTGAACACTCACCGACTTGGGAAGCACAGATGAGGCCTGGTCAAGCATCGGAACACCAGTGGAAGCTCCACTTGAAATAGATCAGCCGAAACCCGACACGCCGGAACCGATCGACGTAACACTCGCGCGAGAGGCAAAGGTGGTCGTAGACACAGTAAAGCGAGGCGCCGAAATAGTTATTTACACATCAAGGGCTGAGGCGCGCAGCGGCTTCGGTGACTACAGCGCCCCAACGCTGCAAACACGCCGAGGCTGCAATCATCCCGTTATCAGCCATTGATGTATAAACAGTTTTTCTGCTTACTTGCCCGTTTTGAGGAGCAATACCTAAAAAGATTCAATTCATGCTGAAGCTCAGTCACAAGCAGTTAACAATAACGTCGATGAAGATGTTATGTTGCAAGAGAGGATCGCGAGCCGGAGGCGAGCTGTATTAGCATTATATGTGTCTCGTCGCGAGCCGAAGGCGAGCTTTATGTATATGATTTTTTTTAGTTCTTGTATATACGATTCGTAATCTTCGTCTTCACTACTGCTGGACCCACTTTCGTCGGCATTATGCCCAATGTTTGAGTTTAAATCCATCGTGCGGTATACGTAAATATAAAAAAAATTTGGTTAAGCCGGATCTGCGCAGAAGCGAGTGAGGGACAGTGAGTGAGCGTGGCAACCCGCTATACGCACCGATGTGCTACGTTATACGTACGACATATAAAAACAAGCGCTCGCTATACTCACCTCCTGGCACTGTAATCATTATTATAGTGCCAGGAGGCATGATTATAGTGCGAGGACAGTGGCGCCGCGCTGCTCGACTGAAATCGACGGCATTACCCATTGAGGACACACAGTACGAAATACGCCTCAAACGGGCTAGTAAGCTGAAAAGGTGAAAGATGAGGTGGTCGATGTAGCCTGATTCATTCTTAATCTATTTGTTCTAAATGCGATCTTACAACAATCACAAGGAGACGATGCAAGGAGCGCAACCGGGATAAAAGGTATTTTTACATTCGCCACAAGTAGTCACTCTACGGACTGTTTTATGACACTTGGCGCATTCAGCTGGCATACAGATACAATACTATAATATAATGTTCAAACGTCGGCAGATACTTATAAAGATATAACGCGATTTATTTAACGTAATAGTAAATACTAAGTCGAGTCAGTCGTAGCCAGCAAAACGCGCTCATAAACATAAACAAGAATCGATGACAGGTAACGCGCTTATGCTAAACGCTTGAAATCGAAAAATGTCAACAATGTACTATCGAATACTATTTTTAAAAGTACGTTACGAGACTGATATCTTCTACTGAAACAAACTTTGTGAGACAAACTTGCCACTGGCTTTGAGCTGTTCTTTGAGCAGTGCCAATTTTAAAGATGCTTGATGGTACCACCTCTCTGCAGTGTACAATGGGTGTTGGGTGAAGTAAGCATGATCATGCAGAGTAGTAGGGCAACCTGTTTCAATTCTCGTATGCTCCTCCTTGAACTCCTGAAAGAGTTGCTGCAGGTGCATTGACCAGTAATCATACATGGCCACGCCTGGATCCTCCTGGTTGGCGATTGAGGTGAGCATGTTCTTGAGACTCTCAATGCGGTCTGCTTGAGACTGGAGACGACACAGGTACTCTGCAGAGGTGGCCTTTGAAGTTGTTCGAGGCACACGTTTCTTAGGTTCATCGCTCTTGTTGGTCTCAGATGTTTTTGACTTTGTTGAGCCAGTGGATGAAGGTAGCGGTAATTGCTGCTGTTGAGAGCTCCCATCAGAAGCCACGACGTTGAACAGGGGCACATCGTCCTTGAGCTTTGTATCCCCAGGCTTAGTCTCTCCAGTCTTAGTATCTTGAAACTCCTCTCGCTCAGGAGAAGAGCCTCTTGAGCTCCCAGAATGAGTTGACATGATGAGTTGACGATGAGGTTATCTGTTGAGTGTGAGACTAATGAGTGTTGAACTATTGTGCAGTGCCCTTGATTGACCTTTCTCATGCACCACATCCGGCTCGAAGGACCAAATGTTTGAGAATTGTTTAAACAATAAATAATAATTTGGATGGGTACATAATAGGGTCTCAAAAGAAAACACAGCATGAGTCATATGAGTTTCTATTTTCACAATTTTCTTTATTTTCACTTAAAATCACTGTTAATTTAATAAAAACTGAGTCTAAATATTGAAAATGTTGATAACAATTATAATGTAATTGAGTTTACTGATATTATGCTTAATTTTACACTTGAGTTGTCAGTAAATGTACAGGTAAATTGAGCAGTCGACGCGAAGCGAGATTGTATTAATTCACACTTAATTGTCAAAGAGTTTATACAAAGTTTGAGTTGTCAACAAAAGGTTTGATTTTATTAATCCACTCTGATATGCTGTGAGTTGTAGCAAATGAGATGGGCAACGCTTCTCTTGAGTTCACAGCGAGTTGAACATGATTTGTGAGCAGACCGGAGCACCACGCAAGAGGTTAAATTAATCCTCTCGTGTGCATGTGTGAGCAGCCGGATGAGTTAGCCGAGTTCACGTGAGATTGCACATGGCTACGTGTAACCTCACTTTCACTCGTCGTGTGCTCGTGTGATTGAGATGCGCCAATAATCCCGAGAGTTGAGGTGATGACAAAAAGATCCCACCAGGCCTGCAGTAGACATTATTGGTCTTCAATTGCAGTCTGGATGGTTTCTTTACCTAGTCGCAATCGATGAGTTGACTCCGATTCGCAGACGAGTTGATGAGTTGAGCCTTGATGATTGTAGCAATGAGAGAAGCTTGATTAGTTCTTGTCGAACTGGCTTGCGCTTGTTGAGGTGATTGGAGTTGTTGAGTTGATGAGTAGCCCTTGCTGATGATGCTCGAAGTAGCTTTGTTGAGATAACGTCGGGATTTTTCACAATTGAAGTAGTCGTCGTACGAGACACACACGAGATGCTTATTTGCTGAGTGCAGAAACGAGAAGGCTGAAATCGTGAACAATGCGCCAATAGCAGAGATGCCGTCGGCACGTGCCGAGGAGCAACGCCATCTCTCGCCGCGCAGAGAGAATCACTCCTATTGTCACATTACGCGAATATGATTACAAAAAGTAATAAAAGGTAAATTGAGTACTCCCGCGTAATGTAACAATTGATTGTCGCACACGTGTTCGGGAGATATTTATATTGCTACGTTCCAAAGATCCCATTAGACTGCAATAAAACTCTGATTTCGGGAATATAAAAAATGTGTGAGAAATACTAGGCATGGTAATTTTTCTGTAACATCAATCTGATATCAAAGAAACTTGAGTCCGCGCCATGAACCAAGAGTATAACATGCATTCACGCTGGAATAAAAATCAACTAAGTAAATATAGTAATGGAGATGCGGCCATGTGGCCAGCTGATTAAATAAGCTGATCATATGGAACGTTCATAAATTCTAATAAAGATATCCTTTTTACCTTTCTCATTCACATTGACCAGAATACTCGGTAATAAACGACGCTATCGTACAGCACGAGTTTACGATCAAACATTGTCGGTTACGATCCATATGCAGTCTGAGGGGTCACGTGTTCGGAATTTATCTCATTTCTTTTGATAAATTTAGAATTAGGAAGGAACGGGTGAGAAGTTAGATGGTGAAAGGGAATGAACCTCATTGATATAAATAGGCCGCGCTTCCGAGGAATCGGCTTGTTACCTAGAGTCAGCCGACCCGTACACAGCTTGTGTAAGTGTCGATACATTAAAATCCTACGAAAATCTAAGTCAAGCTCTAGAATCATCTTTGAAAAGTTAAAATGCGAATAGTTTGTGAGAAGTAAATTCATTGCTATTTACGCGAGGCGTTCAAGTGATTCAACTCCTCTGAAGATCATTTTGGTTCTCCATCGTCCGGGGCAGCGTACGAGAGGGACATCACCGAGCTAAGAGGAGGCCAGTAAAACGTGTGTGTGTGTGATAAAATCAATTACGAATAAATCAATGTGAGTCTTTTAAAAATTATATAACTTTGTCAACATATCATTATTTCAAATAAACTCCTAACCATTTCTGTGGAAAAGAATAAATATATATAACTATGTAATATCTGTTAATTCGGATGTTACACTATGCTTGTGTAATGTACTGACCGCCTCGTCAGCACGACGCATGCGCGCAAAGGAGCGACCTCGGGTATGCAGGCGCAACCTGCCTTACCGACCGTGGGTAAGACCGAGGGTCGAGCTAGTAGGGATCAGACACGAGGAGATACGCTGACGCACACCACATCGCCGGCACGCATCAAAGAGAGCCGCAACCAACCGTCCCGTAGAGAGCACGCTTGAACGCGTAAATAGATGAAAGGGTGCCGCCGACGCGTACACGCTCAGATGAAAGAGCGGCTGCTGATGCACATACGCGACCCTCGTATCCCCGTAAGCACGCATGAACCCGTAGGGCCATTAATAGATAAAACAGCACCGCCGGATGCAAGTTCAGACGCGCGAGCTGAACTCCGCGGAGTCTCACGACCTGCAGGTCATCGACCTTTTCCTGCAAGCTTCGACCTGCTGTTCGAACGAGTGGAGCACGTGCGCGACGAGTGACAACGAGTCCGTTGTACGACCTCGACGTGATCTCCCCGACGTAAGCCCTCCTCGCGAGAGTCGAGGCAACGTCGACCCACCTATTTGAGGTCATTATTTTGTCGTCGTACATATCATCACCACCGGGAGTGCGCGTGTGTCTTCCTTACGTTTCAACGTGTTAATTGAGAACCGAACCTACCTCCACGGCCGATCAGGATCATCGCTACCGTACCGACTCCATCTACGTCGTCTGCGCGCTTGCGCATCGGCCCTTGCGACCAGTCAACCCCCGGTACGTAACAAAAACTGGTGACAGCGGTGGGATTCTCAAGGAAGACAAGAACAGTTCACGACTAAGGACCATAGTGCCATTAAGACTTGTAAACGCAGTGAGTAATAAAAACAATATGTCTCGAAAAGGCAGGTGCCTGAGCACGAGCAGCTGGCTCGTTGACCCACAAGGCGATCAGAAATCTAGCGCTCCACCGCCAGATGAAGAGGCAGTGGTCGAAACCCCTCCGTCGCTTCCACCTCCTCCGAGCACAACTCACCGCGACGCTCCGACCCCTAGTTACCGTAGTATCGCGGAGATTGAGAAAATCATGCCGTACTTTGACGGTAAGAGCATGCCGGTCGCGCAGTTCATCCACGACTGCAAGGTCGCGAAGCGTTTCCTTCGACCAGCCGATCACGAATTTTTTATCGCGTTGCTAAAAGCCCGAGTAAAAGACGGTGTCAGTTGCTACCTGCAACACAAGATTTTCACGAGCGACGACGAGATATACGACGAACTCAAGCGCGCCTACGCCCCATCGCGCGGCTTATTACCCGATTTGCTAGGTAATCTGTCTCGCGCCCGGCAAGGAACTGACGAAAAAGTCGTAGATTACGGCTTCAGGATTTCGCGACTATTACGCGCCGCGTCCGATAATATTCGAGAAAACCTCGAACCGAATCTTGTACCAGGAGCCCTGGAAAGTGCCGCTATCTCCGCCTTGGCCAGCTTTACGAGAGGACTCCGCAGGGAAGTAGAAGAGGTAGTAGACCGGCAGAACCCTAAGTCCCTTGAAGCGGTCATCGATGTCGCGTTTATGGCCGAAGCTAAAATTGCCGACCCGGCAGCATTTGACAATGACCCTCCAAAAAACTTTCAACGGGTTCGCGCCATCAACCCATCGAGCCAAAATCCCCGTCTGTGCTTCAACTGCAATAAAGAGGGACATATAGCACGCAACTGTAGGGCCCCGCGACCGGGAGTCATTTGCCGAAGTTGCAATAAAGAGGAACATATCGCCCGTTACTGCCCGGAGCATTTAAACGAGGACGCGAGTCGCCAATCGAACGCGACGGCGACTCGTCCCAGCCAATCCGCGTTAAAAACAGAGTCTTCGTGGCGATCAACGCATCCCACTCCTTACAGCCGCCAGTAATCTCTGTCGCGAACCGCAATATCAAGGCAGGGCGAGCCAGATTTTTGATCGACACCGGATCAGACCTGAATTTGATCAAACGCGCGTCCCTCCTAGACAGCATTCCCATAGATCACCGTACCATTTTCCATCTCAGTGGAATTAACGATGAATCAGTCGCCACTTTCGGCAGAGTTATCCTCAGATTCTTCAACAGACCTTGCCCTCTAGACATCGGGCGGGACAATTTCCCCATTGAATACGATGGCATATTGGGCATGGAATTTTTAAGAACGCAGAAAGCCATCTTGTCCTTCGCGGATAACTGCATCACTATCGGCGGCCAATCCTTTCGAGAGCTACCCATCGTACAACACAAAACGCATCTCTTGCGCGCTCGTACTAGAACACTCGTGAACGTCGGCTGCGAGTTCAGAGAAGGCAGCAGTTATGTTCCTCACAACAAGGCAGGCCTTGGCATTTTCGCCGGAGAATGCATCGTGAAAGCGCACGACCACCGCGCCCCTCTCTTTATCGTCAATGCAACATCCTACGATATTAACCTCACTCTCCCTCCAATCAAAAAACACGAGTTCGAGACCAGCGCTCGAGTACGTCTCACGCGATCCGCGACCCATTCACCACACGACACGGACGCGGAAAGAATCGAAGCCATATTAAACTAATTAGACTTCAACTCCTTAAATTCAGAGGAGGATTCTCACATTCGATACCTGGTAACAAAATTCCCGCATCAAATCCACCTGTCGTCCGATCGCCTCAGCATGACTAAAGCGGCGACCCATAAAATCATCACTACGGACGATATACCGATCAACGTCAAACAATACAGACACCCCCCCCTATTTGTCCGACGAAGTACAGAAACAGATCGCTGAACTCATCGACAACGATATAGTCGAGGAGTCCGACTCCCCTTACAACTCACCGTTATAGATAGTACCCAAAAAGGCGGGGCCTAACGGTGAGAAGAAATGGAGGTTAGTGATCGACTACCGTATGTTAAATGAAAAAACCATCGCGTCCGCGTATCCCCTGCCAAACATCACGGAAATCTTGGACCAACTCGGAAGCAGCAAATATTTTTCCACCCTCGATCTACAATCCGGATTTTATCAGGTACCGATAGACCCTTCCGACGCACACAAAACTGCCTTCTCCACGCCTTACCATCATTTACAATTCAAGCGGATGCCAATGGGCCTTAAACGTTCACCTTCGACCTTCTAGGCCCTAATGGACAAGGTATTATCCGGATTACAGGGCATCGAGTTGTTCATATACATGGACGACATAGTTGTGTACGCGACCTCCCCAGAGGAACATAAAGAGAAAATGAATAAACTCTTCGGACGCCTCAAAACCGCGGGCCTCACGGTACGACCCGATAAATGTTTCTTCCTACGGAAAGAGGTCGGCTACCTCGGGCACATCATATCCGAGGAAGGAGTCCAACCCGACCCTTCAAAGGTCACGGCGGTGAGGGATTTTCCCCAACCACAGTTGCGAAAGAATATCAAACAATTCCTCGGCCTGGCTGGATACTACCGCCGTTTTATCCCAAATTTTGCAAAAATAGCTTCCCCTCTCCATACATTATTGAAGGACGACGTAAAATTCGTATGGGGCAAGGCCCAAGAAACGGCCTTCCAAAACTTCAAGGGCATTTTATGTTCACACCCGATCTTGCAGTTCCCGGATTTTTCGCGAGAATTTATAGTAACGACCGACGCCTCGAATTTTGCCCTCGGAGCAGTGTTGAGCCAAGGCAAAATCGGCTCCGACTTACCCGTCGCCTACGCTTCTCGCGCCCTCGCCAAAGCCGAACTTAATTACGCGGCTATCGAGAAGGAGCTGCTCGCGATAGTCTTCGCCGTGCAACATTTCCGACCCTACTTATACGGCAGGAAATTTACCATAGTTACCGATCACAAGCCACTTGTGTGGCTACATAACCTCAAAAGCCCCACATCGCGTTTGGCCCGTTGGAAGGAGAAACTGCGCGATTACGACTACGAGATAGTTCATAAACCCGGCAGAGTAAACGCCAATGCCGATGCCCTCTCTCGAAACCCCGTCCCAATCTCGCCGACCAACCCCATTTCACCCTGCGCCGACGATTACGAGCACGAGATACAGCGGAGGATATTTTCAATCAACTGTCTCCCAGAAGTACGCGAGCGAGAGAGTCGCCGGGGGCTGGCGAAGGATGGACAGAAAGTAGACCGCCAAGGGGAACTCGCGAGGTCAGGTGGAAGCCCCCAGAGTACAGCTGGTGCACGAGGAAGTCTCCGGGAAGAGCTGAACCCAGGTGATCACCATCGGGCAGTATCCTCGTATGGCCAGGAATTTCACCTGGGGGATCTCACGAGCCCGAACGAGCTGAGGTGTCACCATGTGAGTTCATTGCACGCGGATGGGCACAAGAGCCACCTGAAAGAGTTCCTGCACTTGGAGAGGCGAGTGAGTCACCTATCGACACCCCCGGATGAACCGAGTCACCGAAAAAGAAACGCGGACGAGATGGAAGTATTAACAGATGACGACGAAGTAGAAGACGAGTTGATTGAGGGTATTTCCTTGTTGCCTGACGGTCGAGTAATAAAACAACATTTTGTTGAACAACGAAGCGTCCGGATGGAGGTAGCAAAGAAGCGGCGAGAAAAATCCCCCGAGGTTACCACCCCTCCCGGAAAATTGTCATATTCCCGAGACCCATTTTTGATGCATCGAGACAATTACGCACATTTCTTTTCGGTAGATTGTGACACACGTAAACCCCTGGAACAACAATTACTCGACTTAAATTATTTAGACCTGGAGTTGATTAAAACACAACAGCTCAACGTAGGCGCGATTACCGAATCGGGCCTATCATCCGGTTACAGCCTCTTTTCCCTTTTTATACGAAACAATCACGAAGAGACCCCCGACATTGACATTGTAACAGAGGTATTAACGAATCTGGGTACCGCGCTCATTAAATTAGGAAAGAACAGCATATCCATTGCCAAATCTTATGAACACCTCGACGACATGTATTGGCTGCCCATCGAAACACACCTAGAAGAATTGGCAACATCCCTACACCTCAACATCACCATATGCACCGGCGAAGTGACGACCCCCAACAAAGAAGACAGGCCAAGCATTATACGCGAGGCGCACGACTCCGCCGTCGCCGGACACAAAGGAATGATCAAAACCTATCATAGGATCAGAGAGAGATACTACTGGCCAAATATGATGGAAGAAATACGCAGGTACGTCAAAACATGCCATGATTGCCAAATAAGGAAGCTCACCCGAGTTAAGACAAAGTTTCCTATGAAAATCACGACCACTCCGACAACGGCCTTTGAGGTGGTCGAAATGGACGTCGTGGGACCCCTACCCATCACGATCTCAAGGAATAAATGCCTCTTAACGTTGCAATGCAACCTGACCAAATACTCCGAAGCGATACCGCTACCCGACGTCAAGGCCGACATGATCGCTTCAGCATTTGCCAAGGAATTCATCTGCCGATTTGGCTGCCCCGAAACGCTGAGAACGGACATGGGCCAAAATTTAATCGGCAAGGTATTTTCAACCCTGGCCAAACTATTTAAGATCCGACAGATCCACTCCACGGCCTACAGACCGCAGACCCAAGGATCTCTGGAGCGGAGCCACCACTCACTGATTGAATACCTCAAAATGTACATCAACGACAGAGACTGGGACACCTGGATACGATACGCGATATTCTCGTACAATACCTCAACACATACCGCCCACGGGTTCACACCTCACGAACTCATCTTCGCTCGGAAAGCTCGAATACCAAGGGAATTCACCGACAAGACCATTTCCAAGACCTACAACGACATAATTGACGACCTCGCTAGGAAACTCAACATCGCGTTGAAAGAAGCTCACGACAATATCATTGAGGCCAAGCAAAAATCCAAGGCTTATTACGACCTCAAAAGTAACGTAAGAACCTTCAGTCCTGGTGATCACGTCTACCTACTGAAAGAACACAAGACCGACAAGCTCGACGATCATTACACAGGACCCTACCTTATTAAACAGCTGATCGGAGACAGGAATGTGGAAATTGAGCTGGTTTCCTCAAGATCAAAAATTGTACATGTTGACAAATTCACGCATTACTACGTTTATAACACCTATATATTGATAAAAAAGGTACAAGGGAGAGATTAATAGAATTTTTTTTTTTTACATCTTTTTTTGGAGAATCTCACCGAGTTGGGGCGGGGACGGGGCCCCAACTCTGCCTTTTTATTCAATACCTTTCTTCATCACACCTTATACGAAGAATTTCAACACCCCTTATCTTCGAGACGCCCCCTATACCCGTATTCACATATTTCATACAATCTAATTTTATGCTATATTTATTTATTATGCTATTTATAATACCATATTTAAAATGTTTATGCTCCTTTAATAATATATATATTTTATAAAACGCCCCCTATACCCGCATTCACACTCATATATTTTTGCTACTATACTTAAAATGTTTATACCGATATGTCATTTAATAATTTATATATTGTGCCATTTAATAATTACTATGCCATTTAATATGCCCCTGTATTATTTAATAATTTTATACTATATACGCCCCTATGCTATTTTATAATTAATAATATTACATTTCGCCACCGCATTAATCTCCCCCTTGATGCGCGCATCGCAAACGACTCAAGTTAGTACGCTAACTCCGCAACCATGCGGCGCGCCGCGTGCCATCAACGCCAAGTCGCGCCGCGTGAGATTGTGACACGACCCTACTGCGGCACGAACCTGTCGCTCCGACATTGCGCGCCAGTTGAGGCGGAACGGTCACGCAGCAACAATGGACTCCTCCGACTATCTGTTTTTAGAGCAAGAAGTTCGCTTCCGCGACAAGGGCGAAGACCCGCTTCTTTGCCCGGAGGAGTACCTAATGGTAAAGTTGTTCGACGAGGACCAAAAGATCAAGGTTGAGTCACCGGAAGAGCTCCACGAGTGGCCTCAACACGACAAGGCACTCGGAGGCTACGGCGAATTACAAGTGAGTGCCGGTGAGCAACAAGTGAGTGCCGGTGAGCAACAAGTGAGTACCAGTGAACAACAAGAGTGTGCCGGTGAACAACATGTAGGAGCCAACAACGAACAGGGGGGCCAGGAACTGCCGCGTCTGGAGGCGATCCATCTTTTCAAACCGCCAAAACGCGGCAAAAAGCCACGGATAAATTGGTTTGACCCGCAGACGCTCAGCATACCACTTTTTAAGGAGGCTTGCCAGGGTGCAATGCTGGGTTATCTACAGCCGGTGAGAGGTAGGAGGCACGCAGTGGCCACCCTCTACGACGCCCGTAACAAGGGCATTCGCGGCATCTGCTGCAGCAGCGAGGTGATAAACAAAGGCAAGGACCCGATCCGATACGAGGTCCACCTCGTCGGGCTCCCCTGGGCACTCACCAAGTATCTGGCTCTGTGCGGCAGGTGCCGTCAAGATGTTTGGGAGGTGGCTTGTCCGGCCAAGTGCGCCACTTGTGGGCCCACCCTAGTGGTCCACGAAGAAGAGATCGACGCCGGACGCGTCCACGACGTCAACCGAGGAAAGAAATACCATGTAAAGAAGACAGATCGTGTGTAGTGTTGTTAAGTCTGTGTGCGAGTTTAATTTTAGTGCATACATTTTTATTTATTTTTTCAAAGTCCTATGTGCAAGTTTAATTTTAGTGCATACATTTTTATTTATTTTTTTTCGAAGTTCTGCGTGCGAGTTTAATTTTAGTACATACATTTTTATTTATTTTTTCGAAGTTCTGTGTGCGAGTTTGATTTTAGTGCATACATTTTTATTTATTTTTTCAAAGTCCTGTGTGCGAGTTTAATTTTAGTACATACATTTTTATTTATTTTTTTCGAAGTCCTGTGTGCGAGTTTTATTTCAGTGCACACATTTTTTCTTTTCTTTCGAAAATTTTTGCGCAACACACCTTTTCCCTACTTTCGAATTCTGTTTTAAGTTTTAATAATAAGTGCATATATATTTTTCCTTTTGTGCAAGTTTACAATTTTAATTCTAACTTTAGTTGTCTGTCTACGATGTTTTGTACCGGTGTATACATTTTTGTTCAAATTCACGATTCTAGTTGCGTTATTTTACAATTTGTAACCACACCCTGAAAAGCATTTTTTTATATATAATAAAATAAGAAAATCCT